TTGATTAACTTCACAGCTTTGTAGCTTCACTTCTGAACACAAACTCAGACTTTGCTTAGAATCCCAAAGGTTCAAGACAGAGTATAAGCAATAATCTCTCTCAGAGAGAAAGAAATGGAAAGCACAACGTTTTCTTATTGCAGCTCAACGCTGTCATGTTTCTATCCCTCCTGAGAGATTAATGGCAAAAAGAGCTACAGAAGGAAATTGCTTCACTTGCTCTTCCTTTTGCTGTGGCTATGAACAGCCTCTGGCTCACCTGGCCATTGAATGATGTGCCCTCCTGGGATCTGATGAACTCACTGTAGGCCTGGTTGGCTCTGACAATGACTGTGGCTACTGCTTCTTGGTACTGTGGGGAGGATGTTGCTAGCAGAGGGAGAGCAGCAAGGGGAATGTGATCCTGGCTGTTGGACAGGCAACCTTCATCATAACTGTATGGGCTGAGGCTGGATGGGGCAAGAGACATTGGAAATATTCAGCCTGACATAAAAAGGAGGGAAAACCATTTGCAGACAGCACAGTCAGTGTTGTGGTTCATTAAAACAAGCCTCAAGATAGAAAGGCCATTTATTCATCTGTGAATGGGTGAGAGCTTAATAAATCTTTCCCTCCCATCAAACGTAAATCTTCAAGGACAACATACTTACACTGACAGAACAACCCTCAGACAAGGAATTAAATCCCTGGTATTTATTGGATTAATTAGAATAAATCAATCTAGGAGCTCGTGCTGCATGATTACTGTATTCACTGCAGCCAAGTATGAAATTGAGGTTGAATGCCTCACTACTACATTACCAAGTGCATTCTCAAAGCATGGGCAGAGCTTGCACTACTACATGCAGAACATTCTAGGGAAGCAAAGAAAACAAAACACAAAAAAACCCCTCCCAAAACCCCCACAAGTGATATTGTATACGTGTCATTCCATGACAAAGTAGTATCAACTTACCTGGACACCAGGGAAAAGGCTTCGGAGCAGATGGCTGGGCAAGGGACTAGCTTGATGGCAATGTGGCCAAGAGCAGCTGGGTAATGTACCCTCATCACTGTGTCAAACACTGTGGTGATGGTGTTGACATCCCCTTGCTTAGAGCTCTGGTCACCACTTCCTGAGTCCAGGATGTTCCCTCCATGGAGTACCAAGAGGAGGACATGGATTTTACTTGGCTGCATTAATGGCTGCACTGATTCATCCTAGGATGGAGGAGAGCACACAGAAATGTTTCATTATGCAAATAGGTTTTACTTGGTTTTAATTTATGGCTACAGCCATTAGACACACCTGAATACAACAGCTGAGAACCTGATTACTCCTTCCAGGTCTTTCATCCCACATATGTGCATGCACAGATGCACAGACACAGCCTAGTGTAACTGATTGAGGCAAAAGGAATGCTGGAAATTTAAAAAAAATTGCATAAAATTGTAACCAGGTAAAACATGGCAGCAGTAAAGACATTATTTGGGGGAAAAATACAGAAATAAGAGATGGGTGCTGCTTTCTGTGGGGTGCTGAGCAAAATTAACAAAATGAGATCCAACAAGTCAGCAAGTGGCAAGTTACTGGGGGGAGTTGTAGGAAGATCAGCCACTGCATATTTGCCTACAACAGAAGTTATAAATAAGATTTCAGATTTGCTTAAACTCTTGCAAAAAAAAAAAAAAAAAAAAAAAAGTAACTGAAAAGAAAATTCTTCATGACCTCATAACCCAAGGACTGGCCAACATCTGGCTGGGAAACTGCTGTATGAACACAGTGAAGGACTTTAATTTGGCTGTCCAGGTCATTTGCTTTTTGTGTTGAACCAATTCCTTGCTTAAACAGACAGGTTGTAGCTGGGGGGAAGGAAGGAATTGTGTCCAGGGTGGGTTATCACTGGGTGCCCTGCCAGAAGAGCTGTAACCCCAATCCTGATGCCCCAGGAGCAGGTACAAGAGCATCCATTGGCACATATTGTAACACAACAGAGCAGTAACTGGTTTTAATATCTCTTCACTACCAGGGTTTTCAGTGTTTACAGAACCCATATGGACTCAAATCCTCCATCCCACACCTCAGAGGGATGTGAAAGCAGGTACTCATCTTCCTTCCTGCACCTGACTCCTGTGCTAGCACAGACAACACTTGAGAACACCCTGAGCAATTCCCTGTTGAGGCAGAGAAATAGCCACTGAGAAGGGGAGCAGAAGGGGTGGAGGGCAGCAGTATGTTCCATTTGGCAAATCCTTCTAATTTTAGCATCTTTAGTCACCTGTTGTCCTTTGAGCAGTGATTGAGTCCCTGACAGACCTGCTGGTGGGAGGAAAACATGCCCAGGCACACATTGGCAACCTAACAACCAGATTACATTTTTACCAGACAATGCTAAAACATGTCTTAATATACAGCCCACCAGAAGTATTAAAATTCACATCCAAGTCTGTAATAAAGATTTTCCAGACCTCCTGCATAAGAAAGGCCTTTAATTATTCAGTACCATTCCACTGTATTAATGCCTGCTCTTTAAACCTCCTTTGATTCCAGTTTGCAGTGCCTGCACAGTGAACTTTTGCCTGGCTGGAGGCTTGGGAGGAGCACTTGCAGTATCTCAACACCTCTTCTGCTTCCAGACAAGTGTTTTAAGTGCTCATTTGGAGAACAACATGAGTCACCAAGCTCAGGTCGTGCAGGAGTTTATCAGCAATCATTTGGAGGCACCTTTCCCTTTCACTTCATTAACCTCTGCTCTTGAAGGAAGTGGGGAACTGCTGATTAGTTTAGGGGTGGAGGTGACTATTTAGAACTTCCTTGTAAGATCTGGAGTCTCTCCAGACACCTGTTTCCTGAACCACCTTTTGGTGAGGGAAGATCTTAACCTGAAAATCACTGCCATGGTGGCACAGGAGTTTCATACTATTTTAGTAGACAGCTTGTGAACAACTACCAATAACTGTCTTTTTCATCTTGCTTTGAAGTCTGTTCCTTTCCTAAAATGAAGGCAGAAACAGGAGGGGATTGAGTCTGTCCAGCCCTCTGAGGAAGACAAGTTCTCCACACCATCTTGAGCTCTAGGAGAAACCTTAGAGCTGTGACTTCCTTATCTTGAGGTGGCCAGAGCCATTCCCATCCCAGCCATCCACTCTCCCCATGGCACTTGAGTTATTATGAAAAAGTCAAACTACCATAAACTTAGAGCCTGGCACATAGAGCAATTCCAAAACCATGCTCATGGTCTTTAATGGGCCACTTAGACATAACTTAGGCACTCTGCAAGCAGCTACATCACTTCTGCAGCACAGGGAGGCAAGGACTTTCAGGGCAGGATGAGTTCTGTCACTCTAGGATGTCTCACCAGGACTGAACTGCAGAAGCCTTTACATGCAAGTCTAGAAATCTGGAGGTGTGTTGGTTCTTATCTCTTTATTATTGTACCCAGAGCACTGACACAAGGTGTGCTGCAACTGGTTTCCAAACAAGACCCTGAGCAGCTCCAAGGAGTGGGTTACAGCTGAGTGATGTCCCTTGCACCTTGGGGTTGCAGGAACCTGCTCTCCCACATCCACTCCAGCTCATTTGGCATTAGCAGGAGAGCTCTACCCATCAAGGCTGCACTTATCCCCACAGGATTAGGAGGCTTTTTTCCAGCTGGATACCTGATGCTGACTGCAAACTAGAGAGCATTTTCTATATGATGTTCAAAAGATGGATGAAATAGTCCCTTAAATCCAGCCATGAAGTACACAGTGTGCTAGTGCAGCTCAGCGACACACGGAGACATCACTCCCAGCAAAGGGACACATTTCCCCTGTTTATCCCACATGGATATATTCCAGCAGCAAAGGATCTCATTACAAGAAATCAAAGCACTTACTTCGATGATGCTGAGCCTCTCCACACTGGAGCCAACGTGGTACTCTGCTGATGTCTCGTGGTACAGGTCACCTGAAAGCACAGGGGTGTAAAATGTCAGTGCTGCAAGATGCTATTTGGCAAAAGCTCTTCCATAAAGACCCTGCTTGTTCCAATGTTTCTCAGCCTCTTCTGCCTCACATCTCCATTATTCCATCAAACCACCCTCTCCCCCTCCCTTCCACCTGAGAAGCCTGAGCAATGCTGGGTCATTTCTTTTCCAGCTATTCCTCATAACCTCAATATGAGTGAGACATTAGTGAGCTTTTCTCTCATTACAGTGATCCAGTATTGCTGCATTATTAAGGATGGCAACAATGGGAAATCCCTGCACAAAGGTCATAAAGGATTGGTTTGTGGGAAAATAAAAGGAATTGCTTGAACTGTGCTTGGGAGCAGAGATCTGATGTGTTCCTATGGCTGTGCCTACACAGATCAACTTTGTACCAGAAATACTGAGCATCATCTTCCACTGTGCTGCCACATGAATGGCTCTGGCTGAGGGGCTACAGCTTCCTTTCACCCCTTCCTAACGATGAGCAGAAAATAAAACTCAGGCAGATACAGTCAAGAACAAAGGATGGAGCAAAAGGAAAGAAGAGTCAGGAGAAATTCAAGTCATTTGAGACAGAGCTGGAATATTTCGTCGTTATACGAGAGAATCCTGTCTGTCACACAAAAGAGCCAAACCACCATGGAAAATAAAAGAGAATCAAGAGCTATCCCAGCTCCCACTGAGCAATTCTTTTTTGGCAGCACTGGGCAGTCATTTTTATGCTCTGTCTCAGCTTCTCCTTTTGTGAGATGAGGATAACAAGTTTTCCCTTGTTCTGAATGCAGCTGGAACAATTGCCTGGAAATACTGTAAAATAGCACACGTAGTTTGTACTTAAAGCAAATTACCCTGGACATCATCGCATTCCGGAGTTTCAATTTTATCCATCAGATCGTTGGAACTCCATTTGGTTATTTCTTTCGGGAACATTTCCTCATTGTCAGACAAGTCCTCTTTTAAAAAAACAGATTGTTTGAGAGTCATACACACACAAAAAAAACCCCAGGTAACAGACAAGAACACACAACATAACTCAAATAAAACTGAGGCCCCATAACTCTGTGTCATCTCTAAACATTTGGATGGCTTAAGTCATAATAAACCAGGATAGTTTACCAGGTTTTGTTATACAGAAACCAAAGCACCTTTAGAAAAGCAAACAAAATGTTTTAGCTGCCTGTTTTTAGCAAACACAACTCCTAGAGTTGTGGATTTTTTAAGGAATTTTTTTCATGCTTCCATCTCAGGTACCACATTGCCCTTTCTCTTGCCAGTTGTTCTGATGGTGTTAAAGCAGACAAAATGCTCCTGGGGAGGGGACAAAGCAAGGTTTGCCACTGGGATCCTCCCAGACCTGTCTGAGCACTGCAGGATGTCTTTGGGGGAAGAAGGGACAAGGATCACTCTTGTTAACAGGACCAAACACCTAAAAAGGCACAAGCAGCAAAGGAAATGTGAACTCCCCAGGTTGATTTCCTCAAGAGATAGACTTGTTTGATCACACTGAGTGAATTTATCTGCCATTTCCCTCCTACCTCAGGATCTTCCGAATCCCCTGGCTCAGTTCAGCTGCAGTTGAGAAAGAATAAGGGTCTCCAAAATATTATGTTCTTAGAAGTGCAATCAAAAGGAAGAGATGTAGAAAGGAGAGAGCTTTCTTTCTCTTTTCTTCCTTTCCTCTGAGGATGTATCTTTTACTGTTATGGAGGTTAAGTGCTTTCTAATTTATTTATTGTTCTGCACTTAGTATTTCTTTCCTGAAAATTCTGGCCTTGTAAATTTAATAAAGAGTTATAAACATAATAACAGCAGTAATTACAGATGTCTTGAAGACCTAAAAGCTGAAATCTTCAGAGTCCCAGACTAGGATTTCCCCTTTCTTATTGCTGTCGAGTTACTAAGAAAATAATTAGTTCCCCTCCCCTTTCTCTTCAGTCGAGTTACTAAGAAAATAATTAGTTGGAAGAATCCCATGATGGGGACCACAAAGATTATGAAATATATTCATCTCTTCAGCAAATCTAAGCAATAGCTTAAAATAATAATATGAAGAAGATGAAGTGCAGATCCAAGCAGAGCCGAATTATTTTTAGGAGTTTCTATTTCAACTTTGACCATAAAAAGAGAGCAACCTGGAAATTTTGTATCAGCATGCCATTTCCTTTTTCAGCCATGGAAAAAATTGGAGTAAATCCTGATTTCCCTGCACGAGGGAGTGCAGAGCTACCTGTCCAAGTGGAAAGCACAGGAGTGCAACACACACGTGGCAGAGAACGAAGAGGACGATTGCACTCAAAGCTCCTCCAGCAACTTAATTCCTTGAGAGGTTTAATTACAGCCCTGACTGCTGCTCAAGTGATCCCTGAATGGGATATTACTCCCATTATTAGCATTTATTACAGGCTAGATATTCGATATTACTGTATTTGTCACTATCTTTACCAGAGTGTGCCAGGGAATGAGGGTGAGTGGGAAGCTGGAGACAAGGAATCTTCTCGGGCTCAGGTTACGCCCACTGTACTGTCAGGAAATGTGTGTATGTATGGGAAGCACTTCTGAGGAACTCTGCTGGGTGTTGACTCACATCCTGAGCCTGCCAGTTCCCATGGTACCGACCCCACGAGCCTCCCCAGCAGGATGAGCTGCAAACTGGAGCTTCAGCCCTGCTCACAGAGCCAGAGCTGGGACATGTCCTCTGCAGGCCAAGGGGCAGCAAGAGGTCCTTCCCAAGGAGAGGGTTGTGTTCAACTGCACACACATCAAGGCTTTGACTCATCAACCAAAATCCCACCAGATTTAGGCAGACTTTTCCACTCAACGTGCGGATTGCAGAGGACAAACTGTACTCACACGGAGACTCGCTGTTGCTAGCAGCAGAGGAGCTGTTTTTACTCTTTGCAAGCTCCTTGCAACTGCTGCAACAGAGGTGCACGAGGCTCATTTTTGTTCATTCCCCTTGCTAGGCCTGTTAGGAGCATGCCAGGGATTCCCTGAGGCCCAGGATCCCAGGCAGAACCATCTCCATCTCGATTTTATTACTGAGTAATTAAACAGGCACAACGCGGGTGGATAGCAACGATGCTGCTTGGATGACTCACTCCTCTTTTCTTGTGTGTATATTGCTCCAATGAATCCTGTACATGGGTGTTGTAAATGCTCCATAAGTTAATAAATAGAAATGCTTTAAGTGTTAGTTTAACTAAGTTGGCCCTTCTCCTTCCAGGCAAGAGACACGTTCATCCCCTGACTTAAAATCATAGAAGTTTTTAGGGGTTGGAATAGACCTTACAGATCATCTAGTCCATGAACAGGGATACCTCCCACCAGAGCAGGTTGCTCAAGGTTCATCCAACCTGGCTCTGAACACTGCCAGGGTTGGAACAGCCACAGCCTCCCTGGGCAACCTGTGCCAGTGTCTCACCATCCTCCCAGGAAAAAACTTCTTCCTAATATCTAGCCTAAATTTCCCCTCCTTCAACTTGAATCCAATACCCTTCACCCTATCACTGCAGTTCCTAACACAGAGTCCCTCTCTGGCTCCCCTACAGCCCCCTCAGATACTGAAAGGCTGCTCTGAGGTCTCCACACAACCTTCTCTTCTTCAGACTTGTATGTCTTGGCCATTTCAGCTGTTACTCCACGAGTCACCACACCATCACACCACTGTCTACCCCCAAATTTGAGATCCATGCCTGACCACTGATGGGAAAACTCTTCTGGAACACAACACTATCAATTTCTAGAGGCTGAACTTTAGCTGAACATCAGCAAAATTCTGCTTTACAAAACTGGGGCGTCCTCTTCTAACAACTGCACTTCACAGAAAGGTCACCAACTTCATCAGCACATATTGCACATCTCACTTCGATCCGACAGGGCGGGAGTGGAGTCCATCTGTTGTCAGTGGAGACAGAGCCCTCCAGGCTGAAATTTGCATTAAGTGCAATGTATGAAACGAGTGCAGTGGAACAAAGCTCCTTCACACACATACACATGCACAGAGAAGGGGAAAAATAACACAGCTTTCTCTTAACACAACTAATGAAAATTACTTCGAGAAATCTGGAATCAACGCCGATTAATTTTGGCACCTCAAGTACCTTGTTGCGTTTGCTAATGGATTTCTCGGAACGGGAGGAGAAGGAGTTAATAAAGGCAAATTTGGGTCTCTTCAGGCCCAGACAGGACAATAATTCCTACCTCTTACTGATGAAAAAACAAATTAGAGGAATAATCAGTCACAGTGAATCATCAGGACACACCCACAGCCCAGTTAGCACTGCTGGATTTTCCCTGCACTCATCTGCACCGAATAAAACACAGCTCCAGAGGCTAAGACCGTTCAAAGACCCTTTCAAACACATCAGACCGAATCTGAAATGTTGCTGGGTTAATTTTCAGAGCCTGCTGGGTGATGCTGGGGCTGCTGCAAGAAGCTGCACGGATCGTGGCTCGAAAGGAAAAGACTTCAAAGCAAAAAAAGTCTCTGTGCCTTCCCCGCTCACCCCCAACCCTCATGCCTCTTACCCCACCACCTCAGGGAAGAAACGATGGTGATTTAGGCTCCACGTACCATGTGCATCAAAGAATTCATCATCTGAGCTGTCATCTGAATCCCTGGCAATGCTCTGCATCCTCCACTCGGAGATACTATGGCGTGAGGGACTTGCTGGAAGAAACAAGAAAGCCTTATGCGATATGCTACACCGACAAGACGGAGAGTTCCCAACATGATCTTTGCTGGAGGAAGAATCATGTGTTCTCTATGAAAATTCACTGCTGCAATATTAAAAACACAAAACCCTGATGATGCTGGTGTGATGTCAGTGTAACTGCTTTACAGATCCTGTTTGTTTACTGTTGGTAGAACCTGCCAGCAAGATGTTACATTAAAGCAAGCTGCTCGGCTCACTCTTCTGCTATTTTGAATGGCAGCTATTTATAATTGTTAGTAGGACGTGCAAAATCAGCTGGGTTTGAAAGTTTGCAATTAGGAAGGAAGCAGGCTGATTGGAAGCTTTCTCTGTGCCTCTCAGCAGCACACAGACCATTCCTCTGCTTTGCTAACTTTTGGGTGGGTAGCTAAGCAGTGCAGCCTGGAGAGAAATAATCTGTTTTCTGCAAGGAAATTGCATCCACACAAATTGGATTAGAGATCTATTTAAACTTTAAACTTGAATGATTTAAACAATGTGCTCTTGAGCTTCTTCATAGGGAGCTGTCGGAGTGGCTGTCCTGATGGAGCGAGAGGAAACCCAATGGTCCTTTTTGGTGCTGTTTGCCCTCCTGTCCTCACACCTACCTGCTCCCTTTTCATTCTCCCCTCCAGAGTTCCCTGGGCTAAATATAAGCATATTATGGCTTCTTTCATTTTTTTCCCCCCCCAGATAGAATTTAGCAGCCTGAGCTCTTCTTGGCTGAACTCGGCACAGCACAGTCGCCTGCTGAAGGGACCACTGTCCAGACAATGAGGAGAGTTTTTCCCCTCTTGCATATCACACAGCACACACAAAGCACTCACAGCAGCCACCTAACCCAGCAAAAACCTGAGGAGACTGACAAATCCTCATTTAGCATATTCAAGACGCTGGAAGGCTCTGGTTACTGTGACAGCTGCACGAGCTGTTTCACGCTATTGTTCCAACAGTGTTAACTACAGAAGTAAAATTCTAATTTTCTACCCAGTTCCCACGTGGAAAGAGGTTGGAGACCCTGTGCAGAGTCATCTAATTGCAGCTCTGCACCAGCCGAGCAGCCCCCAGCACCCACCACCCACCCCTTGGGGAAGAGCTAGCAAGGAGGTTGGCAGAGCAGAGCTAATTCACGCCGGAGTGACGTCAAGGCACTCGCATAATAGTTGCTAAAAATAGAGCATATAACAACATATGGGCTGGTGACAAGGGTCCTGCTATCACCAGAGGTTTCACTTGGGTGGTGGAGAAAGGACTTGAGATGTGTTGGAGGAAAGGCATTTTTCAGCTGGAGGTGGCAGTACGTCGCGACAGCTCTCCTTGCTTCCATATGGTAATGTGCTGCCAGCATGAAGGAGGATTAAAATATCTGTGTGACGTACTTCCCAGCACATCACAATTAATTTCTTTCATTACTTTTTCTTGTAAAAGCGGAGACATGCTGCAGCTGAAAAAAAATTCATGCTTTGCTCCCAGTGAAAACCTTCGAGTGAAATCCTGAGAGGTCTAAAAACTCCAGCTCCCAAGGAACATGTCAGAAGTGACAAGAGAGGGATTTGTACAAGGAGCATAATGGGAGATGGGTGCATCAATATAAAATCCTGGGGCAGGCAAAGTAGCCAGCATTTTTAGCTTTATACAGTGATTTATGAAGCAGCTGGTAGATTCTTCCCTGGGGCTCACTCGAGTGAGTCATCGCAAGGTAAAACTACTGCTCCTCTCTCATTCAGCCCGTGATGAAATCAGTGATGGAGTGGGAAATAAAAATGGAGACTCAACTCACAATATTTAGTGCATAGGAGAGATGGAGAAGCTTCACTCACTCAGATGTTCCCTTCCACTGCCAATGCAAGAAATTGTGCCCTTTGGGGTTTTCAGAAAGATCAAGGTTTTTCTCCCTCTTGCAGTGAGAGCTGTGACCTGCTACCAGCTGTGCTTGGCTAAACAAGGGGGAATTGCTGAGGGTTCAAACCTTCTGGCTGCACCTCACTGGGGATTCATCTCTTTGGACACACTGGTCCAAGGAAGAGAAGGGTTTAGTACAGCAAGAAAAGGTGACTGCCAAGTGAGGGACAAAATCCAGAGCTCAGAGCTGAGCCTTACAGAGTGTCCACAGTGGGGCTTTAACAGCAAAAGCCTGAAAAATTCCTGAATGGTGTTTCAAAGGGAATCTAAACATAATCCACAGTTCCACCTAATCCCAGGCTGAGCTTTCATCTCCAAACAGCTACTACCAGTTATCACCACCAGTGAAGGCAGCAGCCCCCACTCACCTTTTGGGGTTCCTGCCTTAATCTCCCCAGTAGCCAAGGAGGTGCTTTGCTGTTTGAACTACACTGCAGCACCCACAGAGCCAAACAGCCATTCTGAAATGAAGGCATGGGGTGGCAAATAACCCTGGCCAAAGAGCCTGGGTGCCTGCTGTGACACAGCAGACAAGCACATATCTAGAAGGGAATACCACTGAAGGGTCTTATAAAGCCATCAGTGGCTCCTGGGTGACAAGGACTAAGCCTCCAAATTCCAGGACTGCTAGCCAGCTCCAGCCTGCTCCCCCATTGGGTTTTCCTAGATTCTCTCTTTTGACATTGGCAAGAATTCTGCCATGTGACACTGAGTCACAGTTAGGGGATGACTAGAAACATTCCCAAATCCAAAACAGGTCACCTGAGAGGACTGAGCCTGCAACACCAGCAAAAAAGGCCTCTGAGTTAAAAGGACTCAGAGGACAAATGTGCATTGTTCCAAAGGTGCCTGTCACAAGGAGATACAGTCAAACCTCCCAAAAGTCCAACCTCCATGCAGTTCAGAAGAGCAAATCATTGGCAGCATCTTACCTCCTCTCTTTGAAGACCGTGAGGACTTGGAAGAGGTGGACCACTGCTTGGTGAGTGATCTCCCTGAGGCTGCTTCGCTGTTAGAAGTGGCATCCTCAGTGTCAGCAGGTGAAACTGTGCTGACTTCAACATCCTTCTCACCAGGAGTGTCTTTGACACCGTGCTGCTCAGTGTCATTTTCACTGCAGAACTGGGCCATCTTCTGAGCCAGCATCAGCTGGGCCTCCTTCTCCAGCTGCCTGATGTCCTCAATGGTGAGCCCATACCACTCATCCTGCCAGCACCAAGCCTGTCTGTGTGCTCGGACCATCACCTTCCTCAAGCCTGCAAAGCCAAAACAGCCCTGTCAGCAGTGCTACAGCCTTCCCTTCCCCAAAACCTCAGCACACCATGGCAAGGGTATTGCAGTGCCATCAACCCCACAATGCTGGCAGCTGCAGTGAAGGACCTTCACACAGCAAGAGTCAGGGTGGAAAACTGGTCACCTCGTGTACTCTATCTCCTCAGCTCTTGCTAACCAACTATGCACTGAAATATTTGCCAGGCTTCTGTGACTGCTTTTAAATTGGGAAGGAATTTCCTAATGTTGGAAATGTGTCCTGTGACTGCCTGCTCCTCCAAGGAGGAGCCATGCACAGGCCACAGTTTTAACTCCATGCAGTTCTGGGAAGTTGTAACATTTGGATTTGGCCCTTGAAGTGAAGAATGTTCCCAGAAGTAAACAAAAAAAGCCAACATCAACCACAAAAAAATTTCTTTTTAATCCAGGGTTGTTTCAAGTCATTCCTTGATGACCACCCATCCCAATCCAATGGTTACATGAGAGAAGCACATCCCACATCAGCAGTGCTAAGGCTCAAACCTTTCCTTTCCCTAGAAACCTGATTTCTGCACCTGCTTTCTCTATATCAGTGTAACAGCATCACAAATACGAGCTGCTGAGGTAATGGGATAGGAAGGGAGGGAATAAAGATGCTTGATTTTGCAGATAACCATCTGTCTTGTGCTGCAGGAGAAAAAAATGGAGTGGGTAAAGGCAATTTAAAATATTTTAACATATCACATATCTGAAAGGAAGAACTGCCTCAATATCAACACACAATGCACCTGACCAGGCAACAGAAACTTTTCTCAGGACTGGGACTCACTGGCTAACATCATCACGCTGCCAAGACTTTTCAAACATTACAGTCACTCAGAATTTTCACCAATATTCATCCTTAAAAGCTCACACCAGGTCAAAGCTCCAAACTGCCATTAATTGCTGACAGGAGCTCATATCAGTAATGGTGCTCTTAAAGCTCCTGTAAACACTGACAAACTGATCCTCAGGAGAGCTTCTGAAAATAATCAGTTAATATTGCCCCCCCCTTTAATTACTGGAAAACTGAGGCAGGGATGGGTTGAAGGACATGCCAAAAGCAGCAGTAGGATTTGTTGTCAGTTGGATTATGGTAATATAAAATAGAGAACAATCAACAGGCTACATTAACATTATTTAGGCTTTGGGAGCTGCAGGTCAAGCTCTCTAAGCACAAGCATGAGGAAAGACATCCCTCATAAGCCACACTCCATCTCCAGTGACGTGGCCCAAGCAGGATGGTCCCACTGCACACACAGTTTCTGAGATGTTTCAAAGTTTCTATGCCATTCAGCCTAAATATCCCTTTTGTTTTCAGCAATCATTTTTTTTTGTGTGGTTTTTTTAAACACACAAAAAGCTTATTTTTATAGGTTTATCTCCTTCCAGGTTTGATCAGTTCATTCTGCTCTTTGGTCAGCTCTTAATGCCACCAGCCATCCCAAGCCAAGCTATCAGGAGGAAACAGCCACTGAGATCAGCACCTAATGCCATGGACCAGCTCGACCTGAACTTCATTAGCACAGTAAGATTAAATCTATCAATATTTGATGTGTTTCTCTGCCTGACTTTTCGAAGGGAGCTCCCCATGGGAGAGACAAGTTTGAGCCAGCAAACTGTGACCTTCTGGGGGCCTTGGCAACTTAATTGTGTTCGACCTTAGCCCGGATTCAGAGTTATTTCCCTCACCAGATGACTTTTTTGCAGAATTACAGGAGAATGTTTTAGCCTCTTCACCTCCTGCTATGATTGACAACGAGCAGAGCTCAAAGACAAAGATTAAACTCCCATCACAGCCACACTGAAAGCCAGAAGAGCATTTCTCTTGCTGTAATTCAGTCCCTGACACCACAACCATCCTTTGGACTTCCATGTACACAATGTCCACTTCCACCTTGCTTGGAACACCTTAGAAACAGACTGTGATCAGACAGAATTGAATGTCTCCCTTGCTCTCATCCCAAGGTTTCCTCTGTCCCAGGGCTCAGCAGGCTCCACTCATGCTCCTGGATCCAGCCTTGATATATTGGTGCATGAACTCCTCAGAAATTCTCTGTGTAGAGACACCGATGCCACTGACCACATATCTGTGTTTTAATGGACTAACATCACAGGGAATATGAAAACCACTTGGAGGTTAAAAAAACAAACTCTCCTGAAGTTCTCTGCCTTCTTAGATCTCAAAAATTGCCTGCACTGCTTCCTGTCAACTCCCAGACCTCCCCATCTGCCCTGCTCGTGTTGCTTTGATTAGACATCCCAAATCAGCCTTCCTTAAAGCCTTGTTCCTTCGCAGAGAGGATGGCACTACAGCTGCTGTGCCTCTACCCCTCCAGCACAGAGAGGATGGCACTACAGGACTTC